CTGCTTGAGTAGTCCATAGTTAATCGTAAACCTCTGATGGCTTCAACAATTTTCGTTGGAAAAGGTCTAAGGAGGCTTGACAAAAGGCCATTGGTTTTACATTTCTACACTTTCTCGAAGAGAGCTTGAAAAAAATAAATTGGAAGGTGAGAAATGTTACTAGATGAAAGATGGGATGAGATGCTAGCCTTACTGCCTTAGTGCAGAAGATGAATTATTGAGCCTAAGGTCACCCTCAGCAGATTTCTAGCCTTACTGCCTTAGTGCAGAAGATGAATTATTGCATGTTATGAGCTATCAAACATATATTAATTAGGAATAATCTTCCTTGACATTCATTGGTTATATGTCATAATATTACATGCTGCCACTAATTCGAAGAAAGCACCACAGCATCCTCAAAATGTAAGTATGTAATTTTTTTTTCTCAATTTCTTTCTCCTTTAAATTGTGACTAATGTTCACTAATTAAGAATTCCTTCAAGAATTTGCCCAAATTGTTCTTCTGAATTGATCTATCTGAATCTAGGAAGGGGAAGAAGATGAAATTGGTGTTTAATATTCAATCTTCAATTGCATATAATGAATGCAAATTGCTGCCTGCCCCCCAACGTGTCCTGCAGATGTTGATAGTGAATGTGCCCACCACCGTGGCCTGCAGATCTTGGGAATAAAATGAAGGTGAGATATTTCTTTGTGGATATTATTGCATATCTTAACCATTTGAGAGGATTTAAATTGCTGGAAGTTGTAGTGTGTTTTTGTTTTCTTTGTACAGTTTCAAGCTTGTAAAACGTGTGGGGTGTACTTTATATTTCTCTTGTACTATTTTTTTTCTTTATTTACAATGAGTGTTAATCTTGCATGTTTGGCTAATGTGATCATACTGCGAGAGACATGATGAAACATAAGTGCCTAACCCTACTATGGTGAGCCGCAAGGTATTGAGAAGGTAGTACATCTCTCCATTACGGAAAGATATAAGATCAAAACGACCTGGTATTTGTTTTCCACATAGTAAATTAAAAGATAGGCCATATTAGTACCTAGTTTTAAGTCCTGAACAGATGAAAGGTAATAACATAAGAACAAGAATGATTGGCTATCTATGGTTTGATTGTTATAGCCGGTCCAAGATGTAACCTTATAATATCGTCATTGCTAGGACATGTCATCTTTTTCACTTGCTTAGTGGTGAAAATAATCAACATTTCTCGATGTCCTTTGCTTCTACCAGACTATCAAGACACTACTTTTAGAAAAGAAAAAAAATATAGGTTTCGACGTATTTATCATTACTCCTTCACATTGAACACATTAACATTACCTTTCAATTAACACAACCCGTGCATTGCACGGGCAAATGCTAGTATTCGGAAAAAAAGGAACGTGTATCGAACTCAATAAGATAATAATATGTATAGCTAACTACATAAAAGATTTGGAAAATAATCCACAAAACAGATCTCAACCAGTGTTGTCGCATAAAAAAATCAAACGTCTCCTATCTTAACCAAAGCCAAAAGTGTTGTATAAAGAAAAAAGAAAAAAAGATATATAATAGTGTGAAAGAGATCTCCACATCTATTTTGACCAGGCCACTGAATCAATCTCAGCTTGAGCAGCTCTGTATAACTCCAGTCTCTTTGCAAGAGACACGCGACGCTGCATAATCGCTGGATCCTCGTCCAACAGTTTGCCTAAATGATTTGCCTGCAAAGCCACATTAACAGTTTTTTTTAATAAATGCCAAAAAAAAATATTCTTGTTCCTTGAATATTCCCACTCCATTCACGGGGTGGCCGGAGATACTTATAGGAGATGGAATTCGTACCTCTCTTTTGCCTAGCTCGGTGAAGAAATGGTCAAGTAAGCTACGTTTTGCCTCGCGAACTTGACAATAAACAATAGACTTTGGAATGGAGTTCCTGAGACCTCCACATACCATATTGACGTAAGACAAAACAGTTGATCCTGTTCAAGAAGCAAGAAGCCTATTAAGGAGGTAATCTTGATGAAAGAATGAACAGTAGAGCATGGTTTGGTACATTGCGCTACGCTTGAATGAATCTGATGGTATAATAAACAAGATTTTGCCCCTCTTTGAGCCTCATTCTTTAAAATTCATTTTTTTCAAACTCATTTTCAATCACATATTTTCCCAATAAAATAATTTTGCACGTAAACTCAACTTTTTGAACACTTTTTAAACACATTCTCCAAAATAGTCATTTTTCACAAAATGGGGGGCTCAAACAGGGACTCTAATTTTTTTCTTTTTTAATATTGTCGAGTACTATTTAACCCTCCCTACTCAACATGTTATTATAGATCTAAAATCATAAAAATGGAATTGAAAGCGCACACGCACCAATACGTCTGAGATATGAGTCATTGTATCTATCAAACAATGAATGAGTTGGATTTCCTCCTTTATCAATATCTTGAGGAAGCTTGCGGAAGAAATCTACAGTTAAGTAACTGCACTCCATTTCAACTAGCTGTAGACTTGCTTTCTTGCTTTCATCCCTCATCCTCTCTAACGATTCAACAGCTGCATGCCCAACCTCCACTCTGAGAGAGGGATACTGCTTCAGCTCCTGCACAGCAATAGACGCAAGCCTCCATAAGTGTTTAAAAGTATAACTAAATTTGAAATATTTCAAGCAACAAGATACGTTCTCCATTTCCTTGTCATTGGTATCTTCCCTATTTCCATTCAAGATGTTGAGATAATATAGATAAGTGAACATATTAATTTTGATGACAGATAGCAATAATTTAAAAATAAAATAAAATAATAATAAAATCAGAATGCCTCGTATATGTAACAACCAACTCCATGGGGATTGTAATGTCCAAGACACCTTACTTTTATCCATGTATAGTTAAAACTAAAATTGTGACACACAATATGAAATATTTATACGTACCACAGTCTCACTAATTGATTTGTGAACCAGTTCCTTTAGTATTCCATGAACCTGAAAAAAAAAATAATAAAGATATTCAGTCTGGCCCCTCAAGATAACCCCAGATAAACTCACATTTTTCAGTCACATGATATACAAGAATACAAACTTGGTCTATTCATCACATTTATCATTTTCTTTGCATTATCAACCACACGATTCCAAAAGCCAACACTACAATTACTTCATGCACCCAGAATAAAATTGAATTGAAAGACAGAATTATAAACTCCTACTCGATAAACATGGAAAACCAACTGTAATGGAAATTTATACCGCATCAACAGATGCCTCAGCAGGACCTTTAATAGTAACCAAGGCAGTTTCAATGAGACGACGATAACCTTGTTCAGGTGCTATAAGATGAGGCTGGTATCCATCTGCTTCAGTTATTAATTTTCGAACATTTTCCATCGCAAGATGCTTGTCAAACTGCAACCTTTTCAATGCAGCAGGCAGTTGGTTATCGAAGACATTATATATTTTATCACCACCTGATCGACTGCAAATTTCATAATAATAAAATGAAAATCAGGATGGACTGAATCAAAAATGAGATCATACATTAGAAAGAATGACAACGTAAATTTTAAATACATACACTCCGTCTAGATGTTCTTTGAATATTCCATCAAAGATACGAACAATTTCCATAATCATGTACAGTTTTCCCTGCATGGATAATTAAAGGTTAAAAAGATCAAAACG